CTCTCTCCCTCTTGGAATGTGTTAAAAAGCTGCCAAAGAGAAAATGTTGCATTTTTAATTCCCAGCAGCTGTGTAAGATAAGAACCACGTTTCAAGATGCAACACCAAAAGGATACAGGGCTTATGAATAATCTCCTTTTGACTTGTGGTGCAATATTGTGCATTGCTGCTGCACATGACCATGTTTTACCCTGTGCTTTCCAAAAGGTAGTGGTAGGGCTGCTGTAGATCAGTGTGAGATCAGTTCTCTCTTGTCTTAAATGTGAAATCCTAAAAGGCCATGAGTAACTTGCTGCCTGCTTCGTAGTGTGAGACCAGCAGAGAAGCTCAGCACTAACTGTTGGCATCTCTTGATGTCTAGAATGAAACCAGACCTGTGCAGATGATGTTCAAGGAGGCCAATTTTAACATGACCTACATTGGGGACTTGCAGACCAAAATCCTTGAGCTCCCCTATGTGGGTAATGAACTGAGCATGATCATCCTGCTCCCTGATGCAATCCAGGATGGATCCACAGGCCTGGAAAGAGTAAGTAGTTGAACTGAGTGCAAAGACTGAATGCTGAATCCCTCCAGGGAAGAAAGTCTGAATTGCACAGAGAGCTGCAGTTCAGTTGCAGAGCAACTGTGTCTCTGGTGCTCAAGGCCATCAGAAATGTCCCTCTCGTCCCTGTCCCCAGAGTGACAGCCCCTGCTGTGTCAGTGCTGCTCAGGCTGTGTGCTGCTCCCTTGGCCAGGGGCTCTGGAAGAAGAGCTGGCCCTGCTCAGGAGCAGAGGTCAGCTGTGGTTGTGGGGAAGGCACAGATGATGGAATGTGGAGCGGGGGACTTTGGGTGGGCTCTTTCGGAGTCCTGTGGCCTGTCCAGTAGGAGTTCTGTGCTGGGAGCTGGCAGGTGGTGTGTGGCTCACTGGCTGGAAAGAGGCTGAGAGGAAAGGGCAGGATCTCTTTTGTGCTGAGGGTAGGATACAAGTTTGGCTTCTTTGGCACTGTGGACAAGGAATTTATTCCAAAAGTTTTGTTGCATTTCCTCCCCATATTGAAAATAAAAAGGAAAAAAATATTAATCTCCATTATAAACTCTGGGGAAATAATGATGCATGTTTTGTGCTTTTTGGCTCTGTAACTGGCTATATTCTCATTGCAATTTAGTAAATTCATGATTTTTGTTTAGCTTGAAAGGGAAATTACATATGAGAAGCTGATGGATTGGATCAGTCCAAAAATGATGAGGTCTACAAAACTGAGGGTGTCTTTACCCAGATTTAAACTGGAAGAAAATTATGATCTGAAACCACTTCTGAGCAGCATGGGAATGCCTGATGCATTTGAGATGGGCAAGGCAGACTTCTCAGGAATCTCACCTGGTAATGATCTGGTGCTCTCTGAAGTGGTTCACAAATCCTTTGTGGAAGTCAATGAAGAAGGCACTGAAGCAGCTGCTGCCACAGCTGTGCTAATGTTTACAATTTCTGAAGTAATGTTCACTGAAGAATTCAAAGCTGATCATCCCTTTCTCTTCTTTATCCGGCACAACAAAACTTCCAGCATTTTGTTCTGTGGCAGATTTTGTTGTCCCTAAGGAGGAGATGTCTTGGCTGCATAGGTGCCATGAGACAAATTATATAGACTTATATATCCCTAGAACAAGTTGACTCCTTTTGCACTCATTGTCTCTTTCAGCTGGGCCTGCACCCTCTTCTGTGATCTTGATCTTGGGCTTGGCAGGAATAAGGGAGCTGCTTAGAGAAACAGAGCACCTGCCAAGTCCAACCCCTCCTGTGCCTGTGTGCAGAGGTCTCCAGGTTCTGGCTGACACAAGAACCATCCCACTTGCTCTTGCAACACTTCTTCTGTGCTTGACTTCACTTTTGGTGTCCAGCAGGCAGAGTCAGGCACTGAGAGCCCATGGGAGTGAAGAAGTTACTTTTGCTTGTGACAAGGCTGGAGCACTTTTGTAGCTACCCTCCCCTTTTACCTTCCAGTCTCACCCACTGAGTGCCTTGATTCATTGCCTGGAGCTGAAAGGAGTTTTTGGCAGCCTGTTCCAGGTATTGCTGAGCTTCTTGTGTAGATGTGGAGTTTTGGCTAGCAACTGGACCAGGTCTTAGTAAAGAGCAATCTTGCAGCAGATGTCCTTAGAGGGTGTTTATGGTCAGAACCATCACCACAGGAGTTCTTGAGTTTTTTACTGTTCACCTGGTTTTAGTCCTTTAACAAGAATGTAGTCTAACTGTGGAAGATGAGAGACAAAACTGAAACAGCTTTCCTGACATGGGGATGTTTCTTGCACTTTCTGTTTTTGAAATACTGAAATAACTCCAAGTGCTGTAGAAGTGTGTTTCTTTTTGCTGCTATTATTAGTGTATTTTTTCAGTTTTCTGAAAATTGTTTCCTGTAATACTCACTTCTATGTAGCTGGTTTGGAGTTTTTTGCTAAAACACAAGATTTTGCTGGATAGTGAAACCCAAGGTGCTTACTTGGCTCGCCATGAATTAGTGGTTGGCCTTGAAAGGATTTCAAGGTATTTCAGAGGATAACAAGGGGGTCCCTAGATATTTTTTTTTTCTGGCCAGCACTGCAACGCTTCCTCTTGATTTTTTGTATAGGTTGATGTCAAGGCTCATTGGACATTATCTGAAAGGTGCTAGATGGGCCTATCCTTTATGCAGTGCACAGTAACACCTGTCTCAGGGGAAGCAAACAAAAGCGTTATGTGCAGGGGAGTGCAAACAAAAGCATTATGTGCATTTTGTGCATCCCAACACATAATGCTTATTGCAAACAAAAGCATTATGTGTTGGGATGAGACCCAACACTTTTATCACCGGGATGCATGCCACACACTGCACTTAAAAGGCTGTGCACCTGAAACCAATATGGGCAGGATAGTTGGGGGTGTCCCAAGGACTGATGGAGAACGAAGATTGTGATAAACCACAGAAAAAGTTAGTTTCTTTGAAATTAAAAAGAAAAATAAAAGCGAAACAACTTCATAAAAGATGAGTGTAAATAGAGACACAGGGTGGGAAGGCAGAGAGGAGCCTCCCTGGGCAGCAGGGATGCGCTTGCCCCATGGGTCTAAAACACCTGGATCTCCTACCGCTGGGGCAGGGTGGGGGTTTTTGGTTAATCCCTCTCCCGAAGCTCCCTCTTCTCTCCGCCGGAAAATCGGGGACAGCGGGACGGGAGCGGCCGCGGGGTGACACCTGCCGCCCCGCCCCCGCCGTCTCTGCCCGCCCCGGCGGGGTCCCCGCGGGTGGCACCGCGCTGTCGCCGCGCCGCTCGGCTCCTTCCGATCCATCCATCCATCCCATCGCACCCCGCCCGCTCCGTCCTGCCCGGCAGGTAGGTGACCAAGCAGTACTTGGCTGCCTCCGACCCTGCCCCGGCGCATCCTACGGGAACGGGACGAGGAGGGGAAATTTCCCCTCTCCGCCTCAGCGGGCGGGTCTGCGCGGGGCGGGGGGCGCTTCTCGGGCCGGGGGTGGGCACTGTCCGGCCGCTGGCTCGGGTGGAAGGCTTGCGCAGTGAGGGCAGGTAAACGAAAGCGAAAGTACGCCTTGGGGCTTGGGTTTGGGTATTTTTAGCGGTGTTGGTGGTCTCTCCTTAGCCTGCAGCTCGGTAAGTACATGGCAAATCTGCCGGCTGTTTGTCGGTCTGGCACGGAGGAAGCCGATGGTGATGATTTGCAGTTGCTGTAGAAGGGCTGTGCAGGAAACATCCAAATTTTGGCGTGAACTCCTCCACGCAGTTGCGTCCGGAGGAGCTAAAGAAACAAAGCGAGACTCCTCCGGCTGCAAGCAGGCGCAGGGCAGCCGGGCTCTGAGCTGGGCGAGCGGGGGCTGGCGCAGCATCCAGCGGTGCCGTCCTGGCTCAAAAACCCTGGGTGGGGTTTTGAGCCTGACCCGGCCCTTGCGCCTGCCAGCCTGCTCCTGAGCATCTCCCCAAAAGGCATCGCTGCCCTTGTGTCCCCGCCGGTCACCTGCAGCCGCTGGCCCTGGGAGGGGTTCTGAGCCTGACCCGGCCCTTGCGCCTGCCAGCCTGCTCCTGAGCATCTCCCCAAAAGGCATCGCTGCCCCTGTGTCCCCGCCGGTCACCTGCAGCCCCCAGCACGCCGGGCTCCCTGCCCGAGCCCGCTGGTGCTGGGTGCGGCGGGCAGGCAGCGGGAACAGCCGTGCTCTCCGCTGCTGGAAGGCAGCGGGCACGGAAGCCTTTGGCAGGGCTGACACCGCTCAGGGCCATGGATTTGTGGCATGAAGGCGGGCGGGTGTCTGAGAGGTGTCTGAATGGCCCTGAGCAGATACTTTGAATGTTCTCTGTGCGTTGTAGAGGAGCAGAGGGAATGCTGGAGCCCTGGCGTGGGCTGGGGCTGTGAGGCTGAGGGACTTTTGCAGCCCTACCAGCACATACACTTCCAGTTTCAGATCTGCATGAAAGGAATTTTTAAAAAATAATGTCTGTAAAGTTAGTATAATAAGGAAGGCTGGAACAAACCATTAGCATGGAAAAAAATCCCCTGATTTTTCAATGTGACTGATTTATTATTTTTAATTATAAGGTGCACTGACGATGATATTCTTGCTGTTTCTGTAAGCAGCTGCATCCAGTTCAATCCAGTCTTTACTCTGTGAGTCACACAAGGTTAGACAAGGTGTTTGAAGAATGTTTCCCAGGGTCCTTATCAACTGTTTTATTTTTCAGCTATAACCATGGAGAACCTGTCTAATGCCAACAGCAGATTTGCACTTGATCTGTTCAGAAGGTTGAGTGAGGCCAACCCAACAGGAAATGTCTTCTTTTCTCCTGTCAGTATCTCTGCTGCTCTGGCCATGGTCCTTTTGGGGGCCAAAGGTAATACAGAAGCCCAGGTGTTGAAGGTTAGTAAAATAAAATGGTCATTAATTTTATATTTTATTTACATTGAAAAGGGTTGTGTTTTAGAGGAAGGGACATGAAATGAGGGTGATTTTTTTTTGTTCAGGACAAGATTTTTGTCATGCACACTCAGTTTTTCTCAGACTCTGCAGCTAGTTACTCTCTGCCTACCCTGCTCCAGAGCCCTCTGTATTTTCTATGGCCCTTGTTGTAAATTTAATTTCAGTAGTTAATTCTTGACAGAGGAAACTAATTACATTAGTCAGTCTCCTTTTAAATTGATCATAACTTCCCACAGCGAGGCTCTATGAGTTTTCATGAGATCTTCTGACAAACTCTTACTTTATAACACAAGATCACCAACGGTATGTTCATTTTCATTAATTCTGTGTGTTTTTGTAAAAAAAACACAGTAGCACTCTATAGTTTTATATCTAAAGCTATAATGATACATGGTGATGCTACCTAGGTACCAGTCTCTCACTAACAGGCACCCGGATATCTCGAAGGAGCTGGGTCTGCATGGTTATCCTTACTGTAGCTTTTGGGTAGGTACAATAGTTTAAAAAAAACCTCCTTATAAATTGCAAAAATGGTGCACATCGGAGTGTGCCAGTTTCCCCTGAAACCTCTTGTCACGGAAGGGACTCAGTCACTGTTATTTTTGCAACCTCGTTAGGCTAACGCCTGTAAAAAGGTGTGGGAGTCTCCTCATTGCAGTCATCCTCATGCATTTGCCTATGAATAATTTCACCTTTGTATTCTGGACTTTAGGAGGAACTGTTTTATATTGTTGGGTATTGCTGGGCTTACTCAATAAAATTACTTCCCCACTACTTGTTCAAACAGACTTTGAACATATTTCATGTAATCAGACTGACAGCCCCACCTAGGATAAACCTACTGACAACACAAATCATGCAAAAGGAACTTGGGGGGAAAATAAATGTCTTTCAGCACAGTCATCCTCAGCAGGGCATGTTTCTATACCATAATACTTCACTTATGAACACAGTGCTAATTAAAGTGGGACCGATTAACAATGTCAAGAGCTGTTTGCAGGGACACAAAAATTTGTTTCGGGGATCATAATTCTATTGTAAGGTTGCTTCTGTGATGTTCTTGCTCAGCCACGCACCTGTACAGCACAGCTTGTACTGAGGTGGTCAGCAAAGCCTGAGTGAGGGAAAGAGCAGGCTTTCCTTTGAATCCAATCACTCCTTCACAGCAGTCTTCACTACTGGCAAACACACAGATTAAATTTGAATATGAATGTCCTGCTCTGGTATGGACATCCCTGTCCATGAGGTCTGGCAGCTTCTGCTGTCATAACTTTAAGCCCTGGCCAGCCAGCTTGCCTCTGGAAGAGGAGGTACTGGTAAAGAGATATTGCAGTAATGCACTTGATCTTAAACCTAATACTTATATATATATAAAATAAAGTATATATATTTCTATATAAAAAGTGTATATGAAGTGCATATTTAAGGAGTTACATTTTCATTATAAATTAATTATAAAGGACAAATTGCTTGAAGTTTTCTTAATACCTCACTTGTGATAGTGATGATTGTATATTGTAAAAATATACAACCCCACATCCCCTTGGGCCAAAGGGGGAACCAAGAAAGCAAAATGGCATCATCTCTCTTTTTGATTCCTCACCTGGGAATGAGTTCTTGGGCCCTCAGAGGAGAGGCCCACAGAAATGCAGTCAGGATTTGGGGCTGTGATCAAGAGCTTCAGCTGTGACTGTGTATAAGCCAGGATCACAATACAAGTGGCTGACATGGGCAGCATAGCACCGAGGGACAGTTTGACTCATTCTTTGGGGTTTTCAGAAGTCTCAAAGCAGCTTCCAGCCTTTTCTCTTTCTTCAGCCTACCTACTGGATCCTACCCTGCTGCATCAGGCTTACCCTACAGATTCACAGTATGTTCTTTTAAGACAGTATCAACAGCAGCTAGTTCACTTCTTTTTATTTCAGACGCTTCATCTTGACAAAGTTGAAGATGCTCATTCAAGATTCCAGGCTCTGACAGCGGATATAAACAGAAGCAATGCTCCCTATCTCTTACGGCTGGCCAGTCGGCTCTTTGGGGAGAAGTCCTACAGCTTTCTGCAGGTACAGTGGTGCACATCAGGATGGCATGTGGTGGGAGCTGGGGGGAAAGTGCAGCTACTTGAGTATTTATGAAGTAGAACTATTTCCAAGCCTATTTCTAAACTTTTCTGGGAAGTTGACAAAAGTGCTTCATACTTGCCGTGTGAATTTCCATAGCTGTGAGCATCTGTGCCTCTCACCTGAAGGGTGTAACACAGCAAATCCTTTTCTGCTCCTGTTCACTTCTGCTGTTCTTGTTCTCAAGAGAAGAATCACTGGTCTATGTTCTTAGTTTACAATAACTAGCATGACATCCCACTCCATTACAACCAGCTTTTTAGGTCGCAGCCAGTTCTGTTCCTGTTGCAATCAGCTTTCTAGGACTTTCATTGGAGTAGTACCACATTACCTCAATCTTTTTGAAAACACTATTTATTTGGGAGGGGATATCCAATATGCATTAACAACATGCCTCTTCACCAGTGAATTACAACTTTGTGTGATATTTTTGTCCTTCTTCAGCTGTTTTGGAAAGTTTTGTTTTATTCCAGCTGTGCTTGAGCCTGTTTCAGAAGAATGATAGGTAAATATTGC